ACTGAGCCGTGGGCCTCGTGCTGTTCTCCAGGCTTGTTTTGTGAGGACAATAAACCCCTCGCACTTACTCCATTATTGGGCACGTTTTGCTGTTATCAAGAAATGTAGTAAAAACCATCACAAAACCAAGAGACTTCACATAAAGACCCCATTCCGGGACGTGGATCCTGGAGTACTGAACTGCATGTGGGGTCTTGATAACAGTGGCACAACAACAGGAATAACAGTAAAAAGAGTCCGAGGAATTCACCGAACTAGACGTTGCTCTGAGGGGCGGGGAGCATGGCTCACACTGGGGGAGGGCCGAGGTAGCAGAGCTGGAGGTGGGGCCAGGTGGGGGGCGGGGGCTGGCCCAGCAGCAGGACGGAGAGCAGCAGCAGCAGCAGGAGACCCAGGACAGGCGCGGGAATCAGCGGATGCCGCCTGACCCTGGTGGGATGGCAGGACAGTGCTCAGGGCAGGGCCCAGGGGAGCCTATGTGCCCCGAAGACTGACCACCATTTCCTTTTGGTGATACCTTGGGGGCTCACCTGAGCTGCTGGGGGTGGGGGTGCAGGGGGCACAGGCAGAAGTGGCTCCAGACTGGCCTCCTAACCGGAACCAGCTTCCTCTCCACAGGCACCAGCGCGTGCTGTAGGTCTGGCTGGGAGGGCTGCTGGAGAGAGAGGAAGGCAGGGCAGTCACACTGGACATTGTCCCCAAGTTCCCTCCCAGTCCCTGGGGGTCCCAGTACCTCTCAGGAGGGCTGCTTGGAATGTCTCCAGGGTGAGGGTCTCCCAGAAGGATGGAGAGATCAGCCTGGGAGGACAAAGGAGATGACAAACTTGGGCATGGGGTCCTGGGCAGAAGTGACCCCATGGAAGGGGGTGGGACACAGCGAATGAACGGCGCTGTGCGTGAACACTGAAATACACTGCCGGGTTGGGGTCCGAGCTCTGCCAGCTTCTGGCTGTGTGTCCTTTGGCACATCACCCACCTCTCCACACCCCACTTTCCCCACCTGCTGGACAGGGATGACGACAGTGCCCACCTCACAGGCCTAAAGTGGAGACTGACTGAGTGGATTCAGGTTAAAAAAAAGTGAGCATGGGGCTCAGAACAGTGCCTGGCACATAGTGAGTGCTCGATAACTGTGTGAGCTACTCAATGTGATTATTTCCACTTCCATTGGATTCTGAAGTATCCAATGGCCATAGAAATACAGTAATAAATAACGAATAACAGAACACCAGTGCCAGCTACCACCTTCACCATGGCCACCTACTGTGTGCCTGCTCTGTGTCAGGCCTGGAGCCAGGCCCTTTCCGACATGATCCTTAACCCTCATCCCACCGACAGCCGAGAGCCGGGTGAGGATCCTCACCACACCAGCTTGAGGAAGCGGAGGTGGGACCAGGCTCCACAGAGGGTGTGGCAGGAAGGAGGTGGGCTTTGCGGTCAGGCTGCTCAGAGAGACCCTGTGGGATGGTTGGACCATGCAGGGTCCAGATGCCTGGAACAGAACCTGGCACAGAGCCTGGCACACACGGGCTCTCACACCCTCAGCCGAGGACTGCAGGCTCCTCACTCACGTCACCACATTTCCTTCCCTCCCTGTCCTTGTCTGAGAATGGGGATGGTCACCTGCTGCTTGGAAAAGCAAAGGACCCGGTGTGTGTGGTGCTGGGCAGGGGGGTGCTGAGGCCGGCTGCGGAGGGCCCAGCCCCTTCCTGTGTGTGGGCGCATGTGCGTGTGCATTTCGCAATCCGGGGGTGTAGCCACGTCTGTGAGGCCGGTGGTGTGGCGGCTGCAGCCCTGTGTGTGCTTGTGGGGGGGTCCCCTGGGAACATTCTGGCCGCCCACTGGCCTGTAGGCCACCACCCACAGCACGATCCGCTCTCATTAGCTACAGCGAGGGCCTTGTTATCTCTTGGCCAAATGATTTTTCTGTCTGCTCAGGGGAAGTGAGGTGCAGGCGGGAGCTGGGAGGAGCTGTGATGACATCAGTCCCCTCCAAGGGCCCGGAGTGGATGGGCACTGGGGAGGGGTGCGGGGACTGCCTACCGTGACTTGGATCTCCGCTTCCTCCTCTTCCTCTCTTCTGGGCAACCTGGGGCAACAACAATGTCACTGCAAGCTTCTTCCCTCTGCCTGGCTCCCATTTGCCCGCGAGGGGCTCAGGGGAACCTTTAAAGTTGGGGCCTTAAGGGGGATGGACCTGGATCTGTGACCTCAAAAAGGGTGCGAGGGTCTCTTCATCTCACTGGCTTTCCCAGGGGCTACTTCTCTAGGTGATGCGCCAGCGAGGAGCCGAGGCTTCCAGCTCTCACTCCCCAAAGCACCAGAGGCTCAGACCAGGGCCTGAGGAGACCCTGCTTCCTACCTGCTGGGTTGCACCATTTTCACTGAGCCTCAGTCTCACTGGCTCTTTTTTTTAGGACTTGAACTCCAGAATCCGACTGTGTAAGGCCCACTCCCATCCTAGACCATTTCTCTCAGGGGGTATGAGCCCAGCCTCTGCCCCACCGAGGCTCGCAGGTGCCTGAAATGCCTCTTTAGAGACTCGGGTATTAAGCTGCCAGCCTGGATAGCCCCTGGAGACCCAGATGTCCACATTCCTAGCCATCACCTTCGCTGGGAACAAGGGGTTTGGCCCTCCAGTTTCAGACCCGACACCCTCAGGATACAGCTGTTTCCTTTAACAGCACCCCAAAAAGCATCCAGCCCCTCTCAAGGTTCAGGCCCTTAACCCTAGACACTTCCAGGGCCATGATTTCACTACCTCCCTCACTCCCATCTTCCCGATCTGTGCATCACACCACCCCTGCCCCCCAGCTCAGATGTCCAGCCCCTGCCCCCGCTGCTGCTTAGCCCCTCCCCTTCTCCCTTCCATTTCTCGGTGACTGAGGGGAGGTCACATCTCTGGAGCCCCCATCCCTCCCAACCTCAGCTTTCCCAGACAGTCCAATTAGAGCCCATGGCAGGCAGCCTCATTAGTTGCTACAGCCAGGAGCTGAAAGAGGGGTGGGGGAGAGGGTGGCACCACAGGAAACCACAGGCCCCCAGGACAGGGCCCCAAGGAGGGTTCCTGCAGGCATCTAGTGCTGTTTCTATCCTCAAAGGCCTGCACACAGCCTCATAACAACCACAGGTCCACGGCACCATGCCAAAGGCACCGACCATCCTCTATCACAAAAGGACTGAGCTGGGATTTGAACCCCAGGTGTCTGACCCGAGCCCTCATGATTTCGAGACTGCCGGGGTGCTCCCCAGGGGCCCAATCTGGGTCTCATTTATCCCAGGTTCCCTAAAGGCCTTGGAGAGGTGTGTTCAGTGAGAGTGACCGGGTGACTGAGCTGCCCATCTTCCTGACAATTACCTTCTTTTATTAAGAGTCTCCTATACTAATACCGCTCTTACAAGACCCCATTCAGGCATCGCCTCCCTCTCCCCGGGGTGGGGTCAGGTGCCGGATGTCCTCCTGGGACTCTGTGGCCAGGGCTGTTTCCCCTGGGCCCGGAGTCACTGAGGGCAGGGCTGGATCTGACTCATGCTGGTCCAGAGGCCCAGGGTCGCCTCAGCATGTGAGTGAGTGAATGAATGAATGAATGAGTGAGCGAGCGATGAGGCTCCAGCAGGGCTCTTAGAGTTCTTCTATTCCCTCTGTCTGAGAATCAGGAGGTATCACCCCGAGGCAGAGGATGGGTTTGGGAGGAGCAGGCTTCTTACCACATTGACCGCTCCTTCCTTCCTTCATGCGGGTCCGCTGGCTCTCCCTGGAAGTTCCTCTGTGGGGGGGAAAAAAGGTTCGATCTCCGGGCTACCACCTCAAGAATTCACCATCTTCTTAAAAAACCTGCCTTCCTCCTGGGCCCCCTCCTTGAGGACAGCTCTACCCCCCTCACTGACACCCCCCGCCCCCAGGAGCAGAAACTGGAGCAGTTCTAGACCACATCAAGTCCCTTTCTTCTTCAGGACCCAGGAGTCCAGGTCCCCCAAACTTCTCACCTGGGCCCCAAAGGGGCTCAGTGGTCCCCTTTCAAACTCCATTCTCCTCCCAGGGTCCCCGTCTTGGGTCATTTGTTCTCCCTCAGGACCAAGGTCCCTCTCTGTTTTTTCCAGACATCTCATCCTACGACTTCAATCACCTTGACACTGTTTTCTAAATGCATCCCTGAGCCAGGCCGGTGTGGCTCAGTGGTTGAGTGTTGGCCTATGAACCAGGAAGTCATAGTTTGATTCCCAGTCAGGGCACACATCTGGGTTGTGGGCTGGATCCCCAGTAGGGGGCCTGCAGGAGGCAGCCCATCAATGATCCTCTCTCATCATTGATGTTTCCGGCCCCTTATGGATCTGTCTCTCTCTTCCTCTCCCTCCCTCTCTGAAATCAATAAGGAAATATATTTTTTTAAAAATCAATGGAAAAATATCCTTGGGTGAGGATTAAAAAAAAAGATGAGTTGCCTCAGTTATTTAAAGTTATGTAATATTATTATTCAGGTTATTACAAAATTCATAAAACAATGGCTCCTTTTTTTATTTGTTAATCCTCACCTGAGGATATTTTTTTCTATTGATTTTTAGAGAGAGTGGAAGAGAGGGAGGGGAGAGGGACAGAGAGAGAGAGAGAGAGAGAGAGAAATATCCATGTGAGGGAGACACATCGACTGGTTGCCTCCTGCAGGCACCCCAAATGGGGCTAGGGATAAAGCCCGAAGGTATGTGTCCTTGATGGGGAAGAGAACCCAGGACCCTTTGGTCTGTGGGCCAACGCTCTAACCACTGAACAGCCAGGGCAACAATGGCTATTGCTGAGTTCAAGATTTCACAGTGGATTTGCTAAGGTAAATGCTTAATGTACCTTTACAGTGTCAGGAGGAACCGTTCACTTCCCACTGCAGTACCGTTCTATTTCTTTATTTTATCTTATTTTTTAAGGATTTAGTAACTTAATTAAAAATCTTTTTTCAATTACAGTTTACTTTCAATATTATTTTGTATTGGTTTCAGGGGTACAGCATAGTGGTTAGATACTCATGTACTTTACAGAGTGTCCCCCCTATATTTCTAATACCCACCTGGCCCCATACACAGTTTTTACAATATTATTGACTATATTCCCTATTCTGTACTTTACATCCCTTTGACTGTTTTGTAAATGTATGTAGTACCATTTTTTTAATTTTTAAAATTTTTAAAGTTTTTTGTTTTAATCCTTACCTGAAGATATGTTTTTTATTGATTTGAGAGAGGAAGGGAGAGGGAGGGAGGCAGAGGTAGGAGGAAGAGAGGAAGGGAGGGAGGCAGGGAGGGAGAGGGGGAGAGAGAGAGAGAGAGAACATTGATGTGAGAAACATTAATTGGTTGCCTCTCATATGCACCTGCAACCTGTGCCTCTCATATGCACCTGCAACCTGTGTATGTGTCCTGACTGGGAATTGAACCTGAGACCCTTCAGTGTATCAGATGACAGGGTGCAGTACTATTTCAAATAAGGTGATATCTGACAGTGTTTTCTAAACAACCACCATCACATCACAAAGGAATTTGTGATGGCTTTCTTCATTTTTGCCTGCCGCACTAGCAGGCCAGTCCCTAAGGGGCAGGAATGGTGTCCTGTCTGGCTTGGGTTCCGTGTCCCTCAGGAACAACTGCCTATTGAATGGGAGCAGGGCAGGTACATGGGGTCCCAGGCCCTTTTCCCGGTTCTGGACTCCACTGGCCTCACGGCCCCGCCCGTGCTCACCGGTCCCTCAGCTGGGGCTTCAGGCAGAAACTCAGCTTCCTCGTCGCTCTCCCTGGTGCCCTCCTCCCACTGCCACACCCCGCACAGAGGGCTGGAGAGGTGGGTGGCTGCCTCTTCTTGTTTCTGGGAAAGTTGTTTCTGAGGTCAGGGAGGGCCAAGTAAAGGCACAATGCAGGTCAGAGATGGGGATGGAGATGGGCTGAGGTGTGTGTGGGGAGGGGGGGGGGAAGAAGCTGAGATGAGGCTGGGCTGGGGAGGGTGGAAGCAGGACCCAGGATGAGTTTGGTGCCAGGACCGAGAATTGGATAAGGAGAGGTTAGGACAGAGGGTCCTGAGGAGAAACGGGTTAGGGTGAGTCAGGGCTGGGTCAGAGTTTCAGCTCCAGGTGGGCTGGGTGTTCCCAGGGGTGCCAGACCCACCTGCTGAATGGCCTGGATCTCCACGCCCAGGGATGGGGGCAGCAGCTTGGTCCAGTCCACGCTTCTCGCCTGAGCCCCTTTGGGTAGCCTGGCCACACAGTCAGGAGGGGGACGGCCTCTGTGCCTGCCCACCACCTGCTGGACGCCTGTGCTGGGGTTGCCACCCTGCCCACCGCGGGGCTGGAGGCTGAGGTCCCTGCCCTTGGGCTCTCCTCCTGCCGCCTCCACCCCTCATGTTCCACTCACTCATCCGGCCCCTTATGGGTCTGACTCAGCTGCTCCTCCAGGTGTGAGATTTCCAACCTCAGTTCCTGCAAAGGAGGGAGCGAGGGGCACCTGGTTTTCCCTTCTTCCCACCCCCACCCCAGGCTCCTCTCCCAAGGTCAAGTCTACTCCCCTGACTTCTTTGGGTTCCTCAAGACACATATTGCCAAGGGACACGGGGAAGAAAGCAGTGACAAACTAAGGAGAATGAGGAGAGACAGAGCAGCAGGAACCCAGAAGGTAACCTGCCAGCCAGGAAAACCAAACAAAGGAAGGCGGAGACAGAGGCACGTGGAACAATAAAACACAATGGAAACAGCTTCGAAGAGAGGCAAGAGACACAGGAGGTGCAAGAGTCTCATAAAGACCAGGGACAGAGAGGAGTCACCCTGGGAGGCAGACTAGATCCAGAGAGGGGCTGAGACAAGGACCTAAATACGCCAGGCAGACACACAGAGAGATAAGGAGGGGAGATGTGGTGAGAAGACACCCACAGAGAATAACAGTGAACGGAAAACAGAGATACACAGAGAGAAATGAAAGAGAAAAAGCGAAAAGGCAGAGAGAGGGAAAGAGAGAGGGACATACATCAGACGGTGGAGATGGAAGTGAGAGGAGAAGACTTGAGACAGAGTGACAGAAACAGAAAGAGGCAGTAAATCTCGGAGATGGCAGGAGAAGTGGGGAGAGCCAGGCCGAGCAGGGGGCCACCAAGGGCGGCGAGGGAGCCTGGGTTACCTGGGTTGTCGTCCTGTACTCCTCCAAGGTCTTGGCCAGACTCTCCGCGTGGCACGTGCGCTGGGAAAGCCCAAAGCCGATGAGACTGGGCCCAACCTCATTAAGACACTGAGGCTGAGTGGAGGTGTGCGAGTGTGGGGGAGGGCAGGGTGAGCTTGGGGGAAGGGCTAAGGCCTGAGGGACAGCACTGGGCTTGGAAAACAATAGAAAATTTTAGATTTAAATGTAAAAGCCATATGCAGATGTAGGATAAAGATTTGGGGGGCTCGTGCGGAGATCCTTAGGGCTGGGGAAGGGTTTAGGAGAACTGAAGAAGAAAGCAATAAGAGAACATAGGCCCTGAGGCAGGCAAGAATGGATGTACTTGGACCACAGAACCCCTGGGACATCTGGGAATCTGAGAGGCATTTCCCAGCTCAGCTGCAGAACCACAAGGCGTGATCCCGCAGGGTCGTGCTTGTGACCTCAGTGGAAGCCTGTGACCTCTCTGGGTCGTTTGCTTATCCCAGGATGAGAGCCAGGCAGGCCTCCCTTTCCTGACTCAGGGCAGGAGATGGGCAGGTGCACACGGAAGCAAATGTCACCCGGCCCCCTTACCTCGGAGAGGTCCGTGTCTCGCTGGCAAATGAGGCGTTCACACTCATAGAGCTGCCGCTGCCAAGGAAGGAGTCTGTCCATCTGTCCTGCCCACTCCCGAACCCCTCTCCTCAACCTCCCTCCAGGGCTCTGGACATCAGCTACACGGACAGGGATTTCAGCCAAGTTGCCTGGCAGCCCTGGGAACCTGACGGCTTGATGGAAGCTCCCAGCTGTCACCAGGCCTCGGTGGCTGAGACCGGAGATGGTAAATATGGGCCTGGGGGTGGTGGGAAGTTGTCAAGGTACTAGGGAGGGGCAGCACCTTCAAAGCATCCTTCTCCATGACCAGCTCCTCAGTCCTCCTCTTCACTCCATCCCGCTCTGCCAGTAGCTTTCCGTTCTGGAAGGAGGAATGGCTGGTTATGTTCACGTCAGCAAATGGCGATGCTAATACCCACAGTTGACATTTGCTGACACGTGATGTGCATCAGGCCTCAGGCTAAGCACTTTATGTTTTAGCCCATGAAACCCCTCCGACCAGCATATGGAATTTCAGCTTTGATTTCTCTGTGCATCAGTCCATCCCCCATCCGTAAAAATGAAGATTAGAACCTACTTCATGGGGCTGCTGTGAGGACTAAATCAGATACTTGGTAACATTTACTGAGCACCTTGCAGTAAATGAGTAAAAAACCTCATTTCTTATCCCCTATGTTAAAGATAAAAGCAACTCAGCTCTGGTGGGGTAGCTTAATTTGTTAGAGTGTCGTCCCCATATGCTGAGATTGGGGGTTCCATCCCTGGTCAGGGCACATACAAGAAGCAACCACTGAAATGAATGCATAAGTAAGTGGAATAACAAACTGATGTTTCTCTCTCTCTAAAAATCAATTAAAAAAACACACAAAAAAGCAACTCAGACACATAAAGGTTGAGTGACTTCCCCAGGTCTACAGATGGTAATTAATGCAAATACATGTTAAAATAGCACATAGCATTTAGAACAGTGGTCCTCAACCTTCCTAATGCCGCGACCCTTTAATACAGTTCCTCATGTTGCGGTGACCCCCAACCATAAAATTATTTTTGTTGCTACTTCATAACTGTAATTTTATTACTGTCATGAATCGTCATGTAAATATCTGATATGCAGGATGTATTTTCATTGTGACAAATTGAACATAATTAAAGCATAGTGATTAATCACAAAAACAATATGTCATTATATATGTGTTTTCCGATGGTCTTAGGCGACCCCTGTGAAAGGGTCATTCGACCCCCAAAGGGGTCGCGACCCACAGGTTAAGAACCGATGATTTACAACAATGTCTGATATATATCAAGTGTTTGGTAAATGTTATATTCAGAATAGTTTTATGTGGAATCTAAATTAAACAATATAAGTGAACAAACAAAACAGAAACAGATTTATAGTTACAGAGAACAGACTGATGGCTGCCAGAAGGGAGGGGGGTTTAGGGAACTGGGTGAAAAAGGTGAAGGGATTAGGTACAGATCGGTAGTTACAAAATAGTTATGGGAATGTAAGGTATGGCATAGGAAATATAGTCAATAATATTGTGATAATTATAAATGGTGCCAAGTAGGTACTGGAAATATCAGGGGACCACTTTTTAAAGCATATGATTGTCTAACCACTATGTATATACCCGAAATCAATACAAAATAATATTGAATGTAAACTGTAATTGAAAAAATGTTTACAAATATTTTTTAAACTTTGGATTATGAATTTTCAACACATACAAAAGTAAAAATAACAGTGTAATGAAACCCTTTACCAATCACCCAGCTTCAATAATTATATAGTTTCCCAGTTTGTTTCTTCTCTATCATGCAGGCTGTTTCTTTTGTTTGGGGTTTAACCAGATTATTTTAAAGCAAATCCCAGGCATCATATTATTTCACGTTTAACTACTCCAGCATTTTAATTTCCTACTTAAGGATCCTACCTTTAGCAAAACCACAATACCTACCATTATCACCTTTAACAAAATTAATAATTCCTTAGTACCATCTCACACCAAAGTTGTGCTCTTTTTAAATTTTTTTTTCTCAAATGTTTCATTTATTTTGCTTGAATGAGGATCCACAGGCTTTTGGTTGAAATGTCTCAATTCTTTTACACTTGAGTGATCCTCCACTTTCCAATCCTGGCATTTTTTGGGTCCTTCTTTTGTGGAAGAAACCAGGTTATTTGTCTTGTGGAAACTGTGCACTTGGTTTATTGTGTTCTCCTTCTCCCTGTCCCCGCATCTTCACTATCTCCTGTAAACTGGTGGGTAGGTCCAGGGCCTGGTCCAGACTTTGTTCGACTTTTTGGCAGGCAGATTTCATGGGTGTTGCGATGCAGGTCATGTGCCGTTCAGGAAGAATGTAATATCTGGCTGTCCTAACATAGTTTTAACTGCCATCATCCCCAATTTTAGAGAGGAAATTGAGGATCGGAGAGGTTAAAAAACTTGGCCAAGGTCACATGGTAAGTAGACTCAAACTCAAATCTGAGTCCAAATTCTGTGCTTATAACCCCCGACTGTCTTCTGAGCCAGATGAAGCCTTGGGTGACAAAGGGGAACCAGCTTCATCTCTCGTCCCAAGTTCATTACTAGAGGTGGAGACCAGCGCAGAAGCTGATGATAACGTGAGGTGGACTCTGATGAGGACTAGGGCCTGGGCCTGCTGGGAGCCCTGATGAGGAGTTTCCTGAGGAGGCAGTGCTGGGGCAGAATCCTCAAGGGTGAAGAGAGTTGGGGGGGGGGGCTATGGGGCGGGGGAAGGGGACAAGTGGGCCAGGAGAAGGCAGTGGGCAGGGCTAGCTATGAAATAGGACTGAGAATAAAATGCCCCAAATTCCATTCTAGAGTTTCTGGGCACCAAAAACATAGCAAGTTGCACTGAGTTTGATGAGGCATCATGGGGAGAGCATTTCTGGGCATGGAGGCAGTTGCTTTCCCTTGCCACATTCCTCGTCCTGGTGCCCCTGGGGATACCAAGGCCAGTTCCTCCTCCTCTCCAGCCCGGCTTCCCTGCAAGTCCTCCATCAGCTGCCCTCCTCCCTCTCAGTCCCAGCTAGCCTGGATGCCAGGTGAAGGGCGGAGGAAGGACAGAGGGGCCAGGAATGCTGTGTCAACATCTGTTCACCTGGTCGGGATTTGCAGGCTGGATCCTGGGCTACTCGGCAGGGAACCTGGTTACTCAGCCGCTCCTGCCTTCTTCTGCAGTAACCTGAGCCCTGCTCCATAGGTTCTCCTAGGGAAAGCTGAGTGTCCCTTACTCCAGCATTATTCTACTGTAACTTGAGAACTCGATCTATAGATGCTCTGTAGGCAGCAGCCAGTGGGGAGAAAGGTGGAGGGGAGGGATCCAAGAATAGCTCCAGTTATCGAGCGCCTAGGATGTCCCAGGCGCAGCTCAAGGCACTTGATCTGGCAACAGGCCTTCTGGGCCTGGAAGAGCAGAGACTGCCGGCTGCTATTCACCCTGCTTATTCCTTCTTCTGCATTCATTCAGGTCCTCTCTCCATGTGGGCAGGTGGGTCCCCAGCCTTAGCCCTGGAGGTGAATCAAGATGGAAATCTTGGCAGATTCAGGAGTCGGGAAGGTTAGCTGACCCAGCAGCCATTCTCCCGCTCCAGAGGCTGAAGATATTCTCCCGGCCTCCCTGGCAGCTGCTGGTGGTAGTGGGGGCGGGGGGGTTACTCCTGGAAAAGCTTTCCCTTCTGATGAAAAGAGAGCCATGAGAGCAGCATTTGCTGAGCCCCCTTGCCCCTCCTTGTCCTGCTTTGAATGAGAACATGAAGTTGGGAGCTGTTACAGCCCCCTGTGATCACAAGGCCACAGACAGAAAAACAAGCCAAAGAGCTGCCAAAGCAACCCAGACACCTTCCAAACCGCTTGTTAATCAGGATTCCCGGCCCATCAGGGGCTGTGCTATACCAGGAGTGGCTTGGCTATTATCACTTGCCACTTTGCTCAAAGACGGAGGTTCTGCCAGAGGCTTTAGGGAAAGCCCCTGGTTCTTAAAAAGAGAATTTCTAGAAGAAACGGTTACACTCTCTCTGTATCCCATGCCTCGCACTGTGGCAGCCATTTTGCAGCGAGTTCCCATAGCCTCAAAGGAGGGAATTTTCATGGAAGAGCCAGAAAACAATAGTAGAAACATTTTTAGATTTAAATGTAACAGCCATATGTAGACATAGGACAAAGATTTGGGGGGAAGGGGTCAGGCAGAGTAGGGCTGGGGGAGGGGCACAGGAGAGTTGAAGAGAGCCACAGAGAGAAAGTAGGCCCTGAGACATCAAAGCTCAGGGTTAGCTGTGAGGGGGGCAAGAATGGATGCACTTGCCCTACCCGGTGTGGCTCAGTGGGTAGAGCGCTGGCCTGTGAACTGAAGGGTCCCTGGTTGGATTCCAGTCAAGGGCACGTGCCCGGGTTGCGGGCTCCATCCCCAGTGCGGGGTGTGCAGGAGGAAGCCAATTAATGATTCTTTCTCATCACTGATGTTTCTCTCTCTCTCTCCCTTTCTCTCTGAAATCAATAAAAATATATTAAAAAGAAAAGAATGGGTGCACTTGAACCACAGAACCCCTGGGACACGTGGGAATCTGAGAGAGGCGTTTCCCAGCTCAGTCGCAGAAGCAACAAGGCATGTGAATAATGGAATAGAAACCACTGTGCGAGTTGTTGAGGCAGAGAGGGACCAGGGAGGCCCCCATGGCCACAGAGTCACAGGAAAACAGCTACACCTTCGCTGCCCCTAGATGGGCACAGAAGTGGCTGAGCGAGAGCCCCAGTGGCCTTTACGGGGCCACCACCAGCAGATGCAGCAAAGACTATATGTCCAGAGATGAGAAGGCAATGCCAGCCTGCCAGTGGATGCCAGCATGCCGTGGTGAGTAAGGCCAAGGACCAGATGGGACTACGAACATCAATCCCGCCCAGCAGAGAGAACAGATGTTGCGTGAGGACCGCCGCCTCCTGGAGCACAAAGGTTCTGCCTGAGTCTCCAGCAACTTAGATGCCACCTCGTGGGGGGACAGTGATGAGATTCATCATCAAGGGATGAGTTTCAGTTTCCAACTAAAAGGATTCAGCGGTTCTCAACCTGTGGGTCGCGACCATCGGAAAACACATATAGCATATCAGATATTTACATTACGATTCATAACAGTAGCAAAATTACAGTTATGAAGTAGCAACGAAAATAAATTTATGGTTGTGGGTCACCACAAAATGAGGAACTGTATTAAAGGGTCGAGGCATTAGGAAGGTTGAGAACCACTGGATTAGGTAGACTCAAAATGAACTCAGATGATGTTTTCTGTCTCAGATGGAATGTGGCTCGAACCAGACGTGAGGTTGAACTGGGACTGTTCATTTTACGTGCTGGGCCCTGGGCTAAAAGCAGTCATTTAATTCCCATAATAACCCTGTGGAACAGATGCCCTTCTCCTCCATTCTTAGAAAATACTGCAAAACTAAGGACCTGGCTGGGTGGCTCAGTTGGTTGGAATGTTGTCCCATAGACCAAAAGGTGGCAGCTTTGATCCCCGGTTAGGCGTGTATGGGAGGCAACGGATTGATGTTTCTCTCTCCCTCTCTCCCTCCCCATACCCTTCCTCTCGCTCGCAAATCAATAAAAACATATCCTCAAGTGAGGATTAAAAAATATATAAGAAAGCTAAGCTTAGGAAGGGGTAGTCACATGCCTAAAGTTGCCTGTCATGTAAGTAGCAGAGATGTGATTTGAACTTGGCTGACTTCAAGGCCTGTGTTCTTTCCACCATAAAAAACAACAACTAATATATGAACAACACTAGCTAAACTTTTACTGAGCACTTTCCACGCTGTGTCCAGGGCTTTACAAGCACCCCTTGTTTAAATCTTACTCAGCTCTCTGAGGGAGATTCTATTATTTTGCCCATTTTTACAGGTGAGGACGCTGAGGCACAGAGAGGGGACCCAGGCAGTCCACCACGTACCCTGCACTCGGACCAACTGTGCCAGTTCTCACATGCAGTGATGCGACCTTCAGGGACATTCACATCTTGGGAGCCTGGGGTCTCCCGTACCAGACTGAAGGGTGTTTGGTCTGCAGGCTGCTGGGGTGTCTGAGGCACCGGGGGTAGGACTGGGAAGAGGCAGGGCTGGGCGCTGGGCCTTGGCTCACCTCCTCCTGCAGAGTCTCCATTTCAGCCACCAGATGCTGCTGTTCCTTTTCCTGAGGGGACAAAGGCTTCTGTTGGGGCTTCCTTATCCCCATATTGCCCTTCCCCCTCCCCTGGGATCACACTCAGGCCTGGGTCACTGAGGAGCAGGGCTGGGGAGCCCTGATGGCTCCTGCTGCCCCTGTGTTTTTAGAGGAACGGCAAAGCCTGAAGCAGGACGTGGAGGGATGGAGGAAGCCTGGGTGACCTCTGCCTCTTCCCCTCCATCGTCAGGCTCTGATGCTCAGACTCCAAGAAAGAGGGAAGGGAGAGGGCACCTCTGTGCCCCTTGCCCAGAACCTACTGTCTGCCGGGCCTGGGCCAGAAGCCTGCGATTCTGTTCCTCCAGGCTCTTGGCCAGACTCTTCAGGTCCTCCAGCTCCTCGTCCACAGCCTTGGCAAACTGCAGGGCCTGCTGGGTACTGTGTGGGGGCAGGGACATGGGAGCCGTGAGAGAGGAAGACAGACCACAGGAGAGATCCACTCAGAGGCAGAAGCAACAGAGAAACCCCAGACAGAGATAGGAGGATGGAGACGTAGAGAGAAGGGGACAGAGACTCAGAGAAAAAAAAGGGGGGGTGGGGGGGACTGAGCCTGGAGAACAGGACAACTTCCACCTAAAAAACTAAGGGGGTAGGTCCTCGAGAGTGGGAGACTAAAATAGGGGGACAGGACAGACACGAGGAAGACAGAGCACAGGGAGAGAAACAGGCTGCTAAGATGGAGATCAGAGAGGGAAGAATAGAGAGAATCTGAACTTGAGATGCTGAGAGACAAGAACCAGGGAGACAAGAGAGAAAGATAAAAGACAGAAGAAAAGACGGGACATGTGCGGTGTCACAGACACGGAGAGGGAGGGAGTGGAGAGCGAGGCTGGGGCACAGGATGGTGGACGCGGGCCCGGCCCACCTGCGGAGCTGCTTGCGCAGGGCCAGGATCTCCTCCCCTAGGCGCGCAGACCCCTCCTCAGCGGTCTCCACGCTGCGCTGCAGTTTGGCGTTCTCCCCAGCCAGCCTGCGGTTACTGAGCTCCAGGTCCTCCAGGCTGCTCAGCAAGTCAGCTGTGCCCAGCCTGGGGGCAGGAAGGGCCAGGGTCACCACCCATAGCCCCGGCCGCCTTTCCCAGGTGACGGTAGGTGGTGAGGGTGGTGGGGAGACAAGCTCTTCTGGAGAAAGAGCAGGAGGGAGACTGCCCTGCTCTCCCTGAGCTGTTAGCACAGCCCCTATCCCTCACCCACTCCCAAAGGACCCCAAGCCCTAGCCCGGCCCTGGGCAGGCTGGAGGGCATGGGAGGGGAGGGTAGAGGGGGCCTGAGGATAGGTACAGCTCAGGTCTGGGGTCTTCGCCTCCGAAGCTCTCCAGGTTGGCTGGCTCCTCCGTGTCTGCGCCTCCTGGAGGGAGACAGACAGAGGGTGGTGGGCTTCCCCGTGACTTTAGGTATTGGGGCTCCCCAGGACTCTGGGCTTGTTCCTTGTCTGGCTTCCACCCTCAGAGCAGTGATCCCATCTGCTCCCAGGGCTGTAACTACACCCAACATCAGAAAAGCCTCTTGTTCATCCGTGAGCTCAGGCTGGATCTCCCAGATAGCCCTGTAATTTCCATGCCCAACACTGGCCCCAAACCTGTTCCTCCTCCCACTCCCGCGCCCCACACTCACCACCTGGATCCCTTGCTCCTGCTCACCCGCTCAGTCCACTAGGACCTAGGCCCTGTCCCCCTCCTCCCCAACTGTGTTCCACCCTCCTATCTATCCCACCCCCCCACCCTGGCTCAGGCCCTCACCACAACCTCCTCCTCAGCCTCCTCACCTCCAGCTTCCCCTTCTGTCCTTCCCCCACCCAGAGCTGACCCACCCCTCCCCTGCTCACAGCCCTCCCTTGGCCCCTAAGCCCAAAGGGAGGAGGTTCAAGGAATGCCAAGTAAATTCTATTTCATTTGCCTTTGTTTTTGTAAGGCTGGAGGAATATAACACAAACACATGTTTACGGAGCACCTCCTGTGTGTGAGGTCCTAGGGATACAATGGTAAGCAAGTCAACTAACCAAATGGCAGGGCAAGTAACTAATCAGATTATCAGATTTCTGCAGGAAAGGCATGCAGGTCTGTGAGTGTGTGAGTGCGAGAGCAAGGGACTGTAGCCTGGGGCACCCCGGCTGGATGAGAGGAGAGGTGGGCGGGGCCTGGTGGGGCTCTATAACAGAGCTGGTGTTAGAAGGCTTTGGAAACAACTCACAAAGCTCAAGGAGGGTGGGGAGGCTCCTAGAAGGCCAAACTCACAGCTCCAGGCTAGAGCAAAGGTCCCTGGGGTCCCACCCTATCTCCTGCTCTGTTGCCAAGTGGAAGTCCCCCCACTGTCTGACCTGGGCCAGCCTGCTTCATTCTATATAAAGCATTCTCACCAGATGGAGCTGCTGGGAGGCAGGGTCCCTCGAGGTAGCTCTCTCAGTCTATCTCTTGCAAGGATGAGGTTAGAGCCCTCCGCCATCTCAACCAGCGGGGTTTGGGCGCTGGGGAGGGCCAGGTAGGTGAGTAGCTCATGGGAGGAGGGGGGCAGATGCTAGCGCTGGGCAGATGCAAGCAGAGGCAGGATGGATGGAGAGGTGTGAGGCACTGTACCATCGCCCGTTCTCTCAGCC